AAATTTGCCATTACAAATAACCTTCAAAACCTCAACCTCTTCCCTCCCCAGCTCTCTCCCACCAGATGAATGCAAACTGCTTTGAACTCAGCTAACACAGAAGGGAGCAACGCTTGCTCCTGTCCAGTAGCTACCTTTGCACGCATGGCTGTTCGCTGCGCTGCCAAAGAGCTCACCAGAACCACTGCTGGTATTCTCTGTGCCAACAGAGCTCCTGGTGTCAGTAATCTTCTCTCTACTGGTTTTACTTTGAATGCTGTTTAATTTGGTCTCAACTAAAGAATTTAAAAAGCAAGGAAAAAAATACACTCTACCTTTTGAAAACCCTCTTCTAATTAACACACCTTAAACTCAGGATCTGTTTCCACTCATGTTCCCAAATTTGCAGAAGACCTGAGGATCAGACTGTTAATAGCAGATAGATAACTGAAGATGGAACGAGACCATCTAGGTGTCTAATTTAAACTTCTCAGCTTCTTTGCAGTGACTGCATGAAGCAGAGCAATGCCGGACAGTCAAACCATTTCCGCTCCCTTGATTAACTGCCCAATAGCCCAGGCAAGCTGGAAGGAACAGCCTTGAGCACCCAGGTACTTTTAAAAATCCCAGTGGATTTTGTCACGTCCATCCACTAAGATGCATGTGACACCACAACAGAAGATCCCTGTTGCTGTGTGCTAGTCTTAAAGGCTGAACTTTGTAACCCTGTTGAAGTCAGTATCATACAGAGAACTGCAGATGCAAAGACCCACTAAAAGATAAACTTACGTTACTGAAAGTTAAATTTTAGCAGTGTCTCCATTTCTGTCCATCAGCACCTTTAGTATACCTTCAACAATAGATTTGCCTGGAAAAGCCGCTAAGGTCTATGTTTGTACTGTTCACCTTGTCCTTTGGTGCTTGCGATGTGGACGTGCCACATCACACTGAAACAGGCAAACAGATTGACTCAAACGAACTCACAGCAGGGATTTAAGAGAGATGTTAGCTCTCAGATGTCCCTCATCGTAAGTTTTTAATGCAAGAGGTTTCCCCCCCACACCCTCTCACACACACACACACACACAGAGTATTTGGTGTTCCCCCTTTATTTTGTATATTATTGTTGTCAGAAACAGTGACATTTTATGGCAGGATGCCCAGGGATTCTGCACGTCTCTTCTCCCCTCTACCAACAATGATTTGGTTTCTGTTGATGCCCTGTTTCTTTGTACTGTTGACCTTGTCTGGACCAGAATTACTAGCACAGAATTACTCCCAACTAGTTCATACTATCAGAGCACTGTGTAGCAAGTATTCTTGGGATGCAGCATGTTGTTATTACAAGTGCTAAATGAGCTGAAATAGCAAATGGTGAGCAATCAGAAGAGTTAACTGCATAGCAAATCCTGAAAGGTGGTAGATGAGGAGACCACTGTTCCAGAGACTCAGTTCTCTTTGCCCAGAAAGTGTAAATTTTCCAAGCATTCTCAGAAAAAGAGTGCAACAAATCACACAGACACTTTCTAGCTAACCTCCAACTCTCTTCCTCTAAGGACTCCCTGTGTTTCACAACATTTGACAACCATCCTCACAGTCCGGAAACGCTGGAGCACTCCACATTTGACAAATCCAAACTGAAAAAGATTACATCAAAAGAGGAACTGTAGAAAACACTCTGTGCACACAGATTTTAGTAACAGTTAGGTGCCAGCCATGAGGCAGCCGCAGTCACACCTTTCTGAGGCTTTGCCTGCTCCTGTCTGGCCCCACTTTTATTCGTGCTGCTGAAGTAGATGTGAGGTTGCAAAGTGGAACAGTTTTCTTTTAAAATGACCTTTTTTTTTTCCAATTTTATTTTCATTTTAGTCCCAGAGCAATAAATGAAATTTCTTAAATACAGCAAAGAAGAACAAAACTGATAGCTAGCCACAGGAACAGACCGGTGGAGAAATCTGCCAGCTGTATCGCTTCAGAAATAGCTCTTTGCAGCTTATGTAGCCTTACATAAAGCATCTGTTCTTTGTCTGAGTCCTTTCGCTTGTCACATTTCAAAGACTCCTTTTGCTAGCTACAGAGGCAACGGAAAGTATGCTCAGTTGCAAGCAGGGTCATGAAGAGATGAAGAGGGAGGGAATCAGCCGAGACACAGATACACCTCCCCATACTGGCTTCAGCTTCAGAGCACACTTTGAAAAAACACAGGGGAAAAAAACCCAATAAAATAAAACTTGCAAAGCATTTGAAGAACATGAAAGCCATGCTTCCACCTATACCCCTGAGGAAAACGGCCTTATGGGGAATTGGGAACCACACAAACCAGACATGAAGTTTCTTTTAAGAAAATTACAGAGATAAGCAGCGAGATAGATCACTGTGCAACGGGGAGCATTTGGAGCCTAGTAGAGAGGCCACAGGGAGCAACGGCCAGGCAAAGTGTGCTTGAGTAGAGGAGGAGGAGGAGTCTGGAAGCAACAAGGTCTGCATTCATGTCCCAAGCCTGCCAGGAGCCAAACAACTTTGACCAAACACAGGGGAGGGTTTGAGCATCCATAACCCTGCATGGAAAGTAATGGGAGCTGCTGGTGTCTTTTCTTCACGGCACGGCTGGGCCTTCGGAGTCTCCGTGGCACATACAGAGTAGACAGAGGAGAGAAACTGCAGCTCTTCCTTCACTGACGTTTGTGAAAAGTTTCTGTTTTCTGAGGCGAGAGCCCTGCAAAACCTCCCCATTTGCATAGGGATGGGTTCGCATGCAGGTGGCTTTACATGTCACAAAAGGCAGAAGCGAAAGGGCACTTCATCTGTTGATAGTTTCTTGTGAAAATAACTGAAGTGTTTTCTGACAAAACGTTATGATTTATTAAGAGTGGATCCCAAAATGCTGCTGGGCCACCAAAACTATGAACCAGCTTTGTAACTCCTTCCTCTTACAAGGAACTGCAGACATCCCACAAAATAAACCCCAGACAGCCTTCCTGTTTGTAACGTGACCAAAATGGGAAGTGGTTCAGATGCTGAAACCGAAGAGGAGCCTTGTGCATTAAGAATATGGAAAACTGGGAGGTTACTGATACTAATCTCAATAGTCCTGACTCATCTCTCACTACAGAGAGGTTGTAACTCCTCAAAATCTCCTTTTTTTTTTTTTTTCCCCCATAGCACAAAGAACTGTACAACAGCCTGAGCACTGCTAAATCCTGGGACAAACCTGACATCTGTTTGCTGCAGGTACCTGTCCCTGTCCGCTGTCTATTGTCCCCCATTCATGAGCTCGAGAGGGCTGGGAGTGGTGGTCTGTGGCGTGACTGTGAAGCACAAGGAATGCCAGGGCCCTGTTTCACAGCAGACACTGGATGTTTAAGAACATTTTTTGATGCAGATCAAAAGATAAACTAACACTGCAAGCTTCAGAAAGGGATTTAAAGAGAAGCAGGTTCAAGGAATGGCTGAAGAGGCAGGTTATCTTGAAAGCAAGCTGTCACAGCCCACAGCCATCAAAAACACTACCAGTAAGCAAGATTTTTCTTTTGATTTTTATTAAGACGCCAGGCAGGGATGGCAGATCTGATTCTGCATTTCTTGAGAATCTCAAAGTGCCCCGACCACAGCAAAGCACCAAGCACAGCAATAGATTACTATATGCCAAATGATCCTTTTGTGCAATATGAGCACCTTGCCAAATCTTGGGAACACTTAGGACAAAGCCATAGATGGAAAAAGCAGCTGAAGGCTTCACAAAGCAAGAAAACGGCAGAAGCTGGAGTGAGAAAAGTTAGTTACAATTCAAAGACCCAATGCAGTGAAGCTGCAGAGGGAATAGCCCAGCACAGGGGAAGAGCCCATTTGAAGTGACAGGGAGTAAGTTTTAAACGCAATGCTTTTGCTGCCAGTCTCACGTATGTAGTAAGCAACAGAATGAAGATGATTGCCTCCAGAAGACAAACCTCCTAGCTTCGCTTGCTCAGAGTAGAAGTAAGAGACAGGAGATCTGGAGTTGCATAGTTTATCTTACTGAAGGAAAGGTGCCACCAACATTTGAAGCCTGTAGGTTTTTCAGGGTTATCACTAGCCGTTCCCTGTACGAAAGATGCATCCAATGCAACATCGGCTGTTACATTTTCAGATGCAACTGCATAAACTGACATGAGGTCATGAAAAACAAGAGTTCACTTGCATGGCAGTGAGGTCAGCACAGTGCTGAGTGAAATGTAACCAGGAATCTGGTAAGGCCTTATAGTTCACACTGATCACATCTTCTCTTCGTTTTTGAGGGAGGCTAAAGCTCTGAAAACATATCCAAGGATGAACACTTTCAATTAAGTAAACTTGCTATATTGACAGTTTATAGAAATACTACATGTTATTATTTTTAAATATAGGCTGAAAGTGAGACAGTTCATTTTTATCTCTTTTCCAAAGTACGCTTCCCATCCTGCCTGAGGCAGTGTGCACATTACAAAAAGCAATGAGGTCCTTGTAATCGTTTACAGCAAGACAGGATGGCCACTAAGACTGACAGGAAATATTAACCGCACAATGCATTTTGGCCCATCTGTCCCTCAGAAGCCCTGGGCAGGATTCTGCTGCTGTTTTCTACAGAGACAAAGCAACCTGCGAAAGACAGATGTTTCAGAAATTCACCATGTGAAGTTACAGGAAAGTCCAGGAAATCCACATCGCTTTTGTGCTCTTAAGCAAATGTGCACATCGTGCAAACGATTTCATTATAATACTATAAAATGGGAATTCTGACGTGGGCTAAACATCGAGCACTGCAGGTACCGACACAAAGGCTCAGTACAGCCCTTGATGACTGAAGACTCAGTATTTGTCCACTCATGTCTCACACCAACAGTATTTTGCACAGAAGTCAACTCCATCCTTAGTAACTTTTTTATGCCTCTACAACACTCTTTAATCCAAAGCACTTCAGTGTAGTCTCTTGCGACAAAAAAATAACAGTCAGCCCATTCTTGGACAGGTCATTCCATCCTTTGCTTCCCTATGGCAAGCAGCATTATTTCTATACAGCTCAGAAAGCACTGCCTTCCCAAAGACCACTCCCCAGTGCACCTATGATCTTGCTCTTGCACCTTTAGACATAGTAATACGAAAGTGTCAGGCAGAGAAAGTTGAGTAAAAATAGTTTCTTCAGGGGAAATTAATGATTAAAGTGCATGAAAATATTTCAAGCCACAGGCTGAACCACAGTCTTTGATGAAATGCACTTCGATACTGATAATGCCTTCAATTCTTCCAGCCACCATAGGAAGAAATACTCCTTTGAAGATGGAAGCAAGGTTGCAATCCAGAAAACCTGCTAAAGGTTTCTGGTTTGTCCCTCTAGAGGCATCATCTCAGTTGCTGATAGCTGGGGCTGCAATAGTGACTGTTCCTCTGAAACAGCTGATCTCAGTTGTTTCTGTGGCATCCGCTTCCATGATCTTGTCTCTATAGCAGGAGACATAAAAACAGCAGCTGTTTGT